CTATACGTAATACATCGAACGGAGAATACGAATTCTAAAATAAAATTCTAATAGATTATAACAAGTATACACATTTATTATTAATAACAATGTAACCTAAAACAAGATTCTACTAACTGAATGAGAATTTAACGTAGAAATACGTCAATTGTTAGAAAATAATGTAAAAGTCGAGGCACACATATTACGAACACACAACGCCTGACAGAGGACGATCGCCATATTGAAAAGATTATTACCCGCGAAAATATGGTTTATTTTCTAACATTTTAAAAATTACCAATAATTGAATTCGTAATGAAACTCGTAATTCATACCAAGTAAATATATATTTATTCCTAATAACAATGTACTGAGAAATAGGATTCACTTATGTGATAAGGAGTACACGATCTAAACATTTTAATAATTAGAAAATAATATAACAATTGAGACACACGTATTACGAACTATGCTTGACAGAAGACGATCGCCATATTGAAATATTTATACATACATTATACGTATACTTCGAATTATATTACGAAAGGAAAATATGAATTCTAAAATGAAATTCCACTTACAAGAATACACACTTATTATTAATAACAACGTATCCCAAGACAAAATTCCTCTAACTGAATGAGAAATTAAAATAGAAATATGTCAATTATTAAAAAATTATATAAAGATCGACGCACATATATTACGCACACATACTCGACAGACGAACGCCATATTGAAAAGATTATTATCCGCCAAAGTCTGGTTTATTTCCTAACAATTTAAAAAGTACTAATAATCGAATTCGTAATGAAACTCGTAATTCTTACCAAATAAATATATATTTATTATTAACAACAATGTACTGAGAAACAGGATTCACTTATGTAATAGGGAATACATGATCTAAATATTTTATTAAATAAAAAATAATATAAGAATTGTAACACATCTATTACGAACTATGCTTGATAGAAGACGATCGCCATATTGAAATATTTATATATATATTATACGTAATACATCAAATTATATTACGAACGCATATTCGAATTATAATACGAATTATAAAATGAAATTCTAATCAATTATCACAAGAATACACACTTATTATTAATAACAACGTATCCCAAGACAAGATTCTTCTACTTGAAAGAGAATTTAAAGTGAAAATATGTCAATTACTAGAAAATAATGTAAATATCGAGACACATGGATTACGAACACACAATGCTTGACAAAGGATGATCGCCATATTGAAATATTTATACATTCATTATAAGTATACTTCGAATTATATTACGAACGGAAAATATGAATGATAAAATGAAATTCCACTTACATATACACACAATATTACACACTTATTATTAATAACAACGTATCCCAAGACAAGATTCCTGTAATTAAACGAGAAATTAAAGTAGAAATAAGTCAATTATTAAAATATAATATAAAGATCGACACACATATATTACAACACACATACCTGACAGAGGACGATCGCTATATTGAAAAGATTATTACCCGCCAAAGTATGGTTTATTCTCTAACATTTTAAAAAGTACTAATAAGTGAATTCGTAATGAAACTCGTAATTCTTACCAAATGAATATATATTTATTCCTAATAACAATG